CCAGTGGGTTTCCATGGCCAAGCCGGGATTCGAACCCTGGTCTCCAGAATCTCTGAAACGACATGAAGCCACTCCACCACCAAAACAAGAAGTTATTTCAAGCCTCAAACTAACAGCAGTCCCGTTGTTTTAAGTTTGGGCAAAGGACAAAAACAAAGGAGAAGGAGAAGAACGGTCGCTTGGATCCGCACTGCAGAAATAATCCAGTTTGACACCGCTTTAACGGTCATGGCTCAAGGCTATGGAATCCAGGGGTTTGTCGTGGCACCAGGGCTCTGTGGCAAGGCCCACCAGGGCACGTCCTCCTTTTCCAGGGCACGTCCTCCATTTACTTCTCGCGAGCCGCCTTGGAAGGTGGCATAACAGAAGTGAAAATAAATAAATGTACATAAAACCCCAACCTTCCGTCCAGGAGGAATCCTGAAACCTCCCAAACGTTGAGGAGAAGAAGCCCGGATTTACATTTCTGTGAGCGTTTTCCGCCTTTATGGGGCAAATGTCCTCCATTTTGCGGTGCCGCGTCCTCCCTGGCGGGGTAAGGACCTCTTACGGAGGAGGAGGAGGAGGAGGAGGCTCAAGCTGTCACAAAAACTTCCCAAACCCCAGAACCCCGCACAGCTTTGAGCCACGGCAGTTCGAGCGGCATCGAACCGGGTTATCCCTGCGGTGCGGACGCAGCCTGAAGAGGACGTGCCCTTGGCGTCTGGCCCTTCCTTACCTGCCCGTGGAGCTGGCTCTGCCGCCTCATGTAGACGTGCGGCTGCTCGGCGGCCAGGGAGTGGATGTTGCCGACGAGCGGGAGCCCCGCGGGGCCCGGAGGGAACCCCACCGGCCGCCTCTGCTTCAGCAGCTGCCTCACCACCAGCGCCGCCAGGAGGGCGAAGGCCAGGAGGGCGGCGAGCAGGGCGAAGGCGGCCCCGGTCTCCGAGCCCACCGCCCGCCCCTCGGAGCACATCCCGCCTCAGCTGCCGCCGCTGCCTCTGCCTTCTTTCTGACAGGCCCCGGCTGGCACCTCAGCTCACCCACCACAGCCCGCCCCAGGGCCCAGGACCCCGCCCTGATAGGACGCCGGCGGCGCTCGTCAAACTGGCGCCGAGCCTGATTGGTGGCTTCTCCCGCCCAACGGCCGCTCTTTCCCCGCCCCCTTCTTCACGCGCCAGAGTTGAGTCCAACGGTGGACGCCAGTTCCAGGGGACAAAATGGAGGAGCTTTTGGATTCCCTCCTGGAGGGAAAAGCTGGAATGGAGGAGGCGTCTTGGGGGAAAAGGAGGACCTCTCTGGTCACCCTGAATGTGGGACGTTGAGGAAAAGATGGGGAACATTAG